CTGCATGGAGCACTGGGTGTTATATGCAAATAATGAAACTTGGAACACTACATCAAAAACTAATGATGTAATGTATGGTTATTAACATAACATAATAATAAAAAAAAGAGATTTAGGGAATCTAGTAGAAGGAGTCTATGAGTTTTGATCCCCCCCCTTTTTTTGATGATTTTATTTATTTATTTACCAGAGAGAGAGAGAGAGTGCAAGATTACAAGCAGAGGGTGCGGAAGGCAGAGGGGAAGCAGGCTCCTTGCTGAGCAGGGAGCCTGATGCGGAACTCAATTCCAGGACCCTGGGATCATAACTTGAGCCGAAGGCAGATGCTTAACTGACTGAGCCACCCAGGTGTCCCGAGTTTTGATCCCTTTTGCCGGGTCAAATGTGGAACCTACAAGGGCCAGACTAGCCTGGATTGGAAGAGATGTTTCAGAGGTGAGGAATGAGGCAGTTGGAAAGCGTAGGACCAGATGGTCTTCATCTATTTGGTCATGTGTAATTAAAGTCATCAGTAATGATTAAAAGTTGGGCTAAAAATGTCTTTGAAATATCTCCCTCAGGTAGTGGCCAAAGCGAGCCTAAATTCATAAGAACTAAGACTTATCGGTGTCAATATCTTAGGAACTCTTCAAAGGGCTTCAATGTATATCTTATTTATTTCTTCCACCAATCCTATGATGCACCTGTTGTGTTTCTATTTCTAGAATTGAGGAAATGGGAGTTAAGAGTCATTAAAATAATACAGTTATTGAGTTGTGGAGTTTTGGGATGCAGGCTTACTCCAAAGCCTAAGCTTTAAAATATTATATTTTATTGCCTCAAATCAAGAAATAAATGAGAAGAGAATAATAAGAATCAATTTGTAATTTCTTTTTTAAAAAAGATTATTTATTTGAGAGAGAGAGAGAGAGCGAGAGAGCAGGGTGGGGGGGCAGAGAGGGAAGGAGAAGCCGACTCCCCACTGAGCAGGGAGCCTGACTTGGTGTTCCATCCCAGGACCTGGGATCATGACCTGAGCCAAAGGCAGACACTTTCTTAACTGACTAAGCCACCCAAGAGCCAAATTTGTAATTTCTTGATCCTATTTATATTTATGTAGCATAAAATTGTAATGATATTGGTTTTCTCATGTATGAAACTTTCTTCAAAACAATTTTTTGACCTGGCTGGGAATAACAGAAATAAAGAACACTGAAGAGGTATCATAGTGTTAAGGTTAGCCATGGAAATCCAGTAGGTGGTTAGAGAACAAAGAGTCAATGACTATGAACATAGTAGCATTTTTGGTTCATGTGATAAGAATAATTTGCAGACCATGGAAACTTAAAGAATGGTAGTTACTATTATGTCAGCGTAAAATATTTGCTTCTCCTAAATTTTATAAGCTTTTATCAAAAGAGGTGCCATGTAATCTGATTTTGTTAACATTCCCACTGTCCCTGGCATATTGAACTCCCATGTACTCTGCACATAATAGAATGTAGTCAGGACTTGTTGGAATAAACCCTTATTTATATGTATACTATTTTCCAGCCCTCCTATAACTACACTCTACCAGAGTAATTATAATCATTTTAATTTTTCAATGTTAAGGAGATAATTTGGTATCCAAATATAATCATTTCCATTATAGTTTAATTTTTCAGACTCCTTGTATGGTACTTATAAAAGTGCTCATAGAAAAATAAAGTAACCTTAAAAATACTAATTAGTAAAGTTCCTATTTAATACCTAAATTATAACTGCCCCAATTATAAGCCTCTTTTAATATTGACTACATACCCCTCATCACATGTGTAAACAACCTTTGCACCATATACAAACTCATTTCTTCTTTCAAGATGAAAAGAACCAAAAGGAGTATCTCCAGGATGTCCACAGGGCCTTTCTAAAATGAAAAAAATAATGATATTATTATGTAGCATGGGGAAACACATTTTATGTAGGAGTTCAAGGAAAATGACATTTGATATTATATCAGAGGACATAATTGAAGATGTGCAAAAGTAAAAAATGTCAATTATCGTTTTAAAATTAGACTTATCTGTATGGTTGTTTTTTTTTTATTTTAGAAGATTACAACAATTTATTAAGAATAATGATGGTATACGATTTTGTATTTAAATGACAATTATATAATTCAGCTAATATTGCATCAAACATTCAGTATTTTAATAATTAAGTTTTCATAAATTTCACAAATATATGAATTATTTACCCCGACATATCCTCAATGGATTAAGAGACTCCCATTCTCCATTCCTGCATTCCATTATAATAGCTCCAAGAGTTCTAAATCCAGGTCGGCATTTATATGTAGCCTGCGTGCCCTCTGGATATGTTTGTTCAGGCCAGGCACCAGACAAAACTTCAGTCTGTTTTCTTGGAGGAGGTCCTTTGCAATCTACAAACAATAAGAACAAAGTAAGTGCTTGAAGTGCTTATTTAAATTTACAATATGTCTAGGTTATTTTTGCTTTTAAAAATACCTATGCTGTTACAGGTCCATCCAAAATATGTTTTAACATATATAAAATATATTTTTTACCTTACAGAAAATGAATCAACATAAATTTGTAAAAATAGCTTTCCATAGAAATAGTTTGCCTTTACTATATATATTTTTAACATATAATGTATTATTTGTTTCAGAGGTACAGGTCTGTGATTCATCAGTATTACACAATTCACAGCACTCACCATAGCACATACCCTCCCCCTCCTTTACTATGTTTTTTAATCAAAATAATGATTCTGTTTATTATTTTATCACTACATTAGACATAAAAATAAATTGAGAAGCTGCAAGTGCATGCCACTTCATGAAGATTATGCAACAATAGAGACAGCCACTGCAGAAAGCTAAAAGTGACTTATCCTTTGGGAATGCAAGTACAGCACACACAAAAGTCATCAAAGGTGGGATTATTGATAATATCTGCCAGCTGGAATTTATGTACAAATGGAAAGTTTTAAAATGAAAATAAGGGAACATTTGCTATCTCTGACCTCTTAGGCAGGGAGTATGGGGGAGATATTATATATATTATTCTTAACTGCTGCACCGCATTCTACTATTCATTCATTGATTTGGAAAATACTTACTGGGCACTATTCTAAGTTCTAAAGAAAAAACAATAAATTTTAAAAGAGACAAAGTACCTGTTCTCAAGTATTTCCGTTCTACTAGGGAAGTTAGTTATTAAATAAGTAATTAAATAGATGTATCATATGCATTACAGGTAGATAAATTCTATTTAGAAAACTAAAGCATGGCAAGATGATACAAACTTGAATGGGAACGTTCCAAATACGATGGAATAGGATGGAACAGAACAACATTCCTACTGCAAATTGGAAAAACAACAACAAACTCGTGTGTGTGTGTGTGTGTGTGTTGAAAGGAACTGGAAACTGTGAGGAGAAAAAGGATTAAATAAACTAAACCAAAGTGGGAAGGGCCTGTTTTATGCAAATATACAGTTTTTGGCCATTTCTTATCTGGTCGTGTTTGCCAACTCTGGGTATGGATTGAAGATCAGGCTTTGCCTGAATGAGGAATGCGATGAGGAAAAGAAAAATGAGACAAGCTTTTGGAGGCATGTCTAACATGAAAAATTCTGAATCCCCGCAGAATGAGTGTGCTCTGCTGGAGCCTAAGTAATTTCTTAAGAGTGGAGTGAAAATTCCTATAGTCTCATAGAAAAAGTCCCAATAAGAAAAGGATCTTGCTTCAAATACACAACTGTATCCTCATCAAGACAGTTGACATATTTGAGTCACTCAGGGTGAGATTTAAGAGCAGAGGTCAAAACATCAGAAAAGCAGGATAAATCTCTCAGAGTGTTCTAGGATGGAGGAAGAAGAGACCAACCAGGTAATTGATAAAAAGCCAAGAAGGTCTTTACCTTGAGACTTTTGAAACCAGAAGTGGACTGACTCAAAATAGAAGTGCAACTCAGACCCATCTGAGTTCGCTTCTTGATTAGATCAAGAAAGAGCAAACACTTGTCAATGGGAAGTAAATAATATAAACATTATTATTACATTTATTTCATGTGAAATGTATGGCTTTGGATAAAAAATTAAAAGACACATAAAGAAGCAAAAAATGTGATCAAGAAATGAAGCAAAAATAAATGGCTCATAGAAGCAGACAGTCAGATCCAGATGTCGGAATTAGTGTCAAGTTTCTTTAAAATAGCTGCTTTAAGTATGTTAAAGGAAATACAGGAAAATAATAGATAAAATGAGTAAAAAGACAAAGATATTCAAAAGAAAACTGATGCTATAAAAATAATCATGTGTTATATAAAATTACAAAATAAATATCCAAAATAAGGATGCATTGGATGGTCTTAAGATCCAAATGGAGATAGCAGAACACAAATCTGAAGAATACTGGTGTAGAAATATCCAAGTTGAATATAGGAAAACTGTAGAAAACACCAATAACAAATAAAAGAGAGTACAAGAAATGTGTGGAGCAGAGTCAAGTGATATGTGTATGTCTAAATAAAAGTCCAAAGCTAGAGAAGAAAAAAGAAAGAAATATTTGAAGAAAGAATAGCTCAAAGGTTTCCAAAATTGATGAAAAAAATCAACTCTCAGATTCAAAAGCTCAAAAAACAAAACAAAACAAGAAAAACAAAACAAAACAAAATAACCCACAACAAACCAAAAGGGTAAATACAAAGAAAAACTATACTGAGGCTTTGTTGAGAACCAAAGATAAAGGCAAAATCTTAAAAGCAGACAGAGAAATGAACACACATTTCTTTTAGGAGACTAAAAGTAACACTATGTTTGTAAGAGTAACAACTCAGGCATGAAAACAAGGTGCCGGCATTTCTAAAGTGCTGGAAAATAAATGGCAAGAGAACTCTGAACCCAGGGAAAACATACTGCAAAATGAAGGAGAATACAAACACATTCTCAAACAATCCAAAAACAGAGAGAATTCAACAATAGCAGACTGACACTAAGAAAAACCCCACTAAAGCTCTCTAGGCTGAAGGAAAATGATTCCATATATAAACAAGAAAGGGTAATATTAAATGAACAGAACTGAAGAAAATAAATATATGGGTTAATAAAAAGACTACTGAAAAATAATAAATAACGTGCTATGTATATTTTAGCAACATTTTAAAGAGACTTGATTTGAAATCAATAACAATGTCTTATAGTGTTTGTAAAAAATTCAGGAGTATAATATGTAAAAATAATAACAAAAATGTCAAGAGATAACAAATGAAATTAAACCATTTTAATGTTTACATAGTTTAGAATGTAGTGAAAGTATTGATTAAGGGTAGACTATAATAATTTGAGTATGCTTATTATAAAACATTAATATTAGGAGATACATAACTAATAGAAATGATATAGTGAGGTAGTAAAGAATATTTGATTAATATTTTGAAAAGGCAGGAAAGGAGGAATAAAAGACCAAAGAAGAGATGACACAAAAAATAAACAGCAATATGTTAGACTTGAGCTTAACTGGATCAGTAATTACAATAAATGTAAATGGATTCACCACTCCAATTAAAGTATAAACACTGATTGGAGAAAAACAGGAAATAAAATTGAAGTATATGCTGATTACTTTTGATAAAATGGGACCTGGGTGCCTGGGTGGCTCAGTCGGTTAAGAATCTGACTCTTGGATTCAGCTCAGGACCTGATCTCATAGCTCCTGGGATTGAATTCCCTGCTGGGCTTCCTGCTCAGCAGAAGTCTGCTTAGATATTCTCTCCCTCTGCCCCTTCCCCTGCTCGGGCTCTCTCTCTCAAATAAATAAATAAATCTTTAAAAAATGGGACAGATAAGTTGAAAGTAAATGATGAAAACTAATACACTATGAAAATATTAGCCAAAAAAGATAGGGTTAATATATTAATATCAGGCAAATAATAACTTAAGGCAGAAAGTATTGCTAGATAAAAGAGGACCATTTCACAATAATAAAAGAACTATTTGAACAGAAAGATGTAATAATTCTAAATGTGCACAAACATTTAGAATGATTGCTGGAGTTGGCTCATACCAACTCACAGGAGGTAGTTATAAACATCTCTTCCCAATACAGTATTCAGTGATGTCACATTGGTAACTTAAAATTGACCATATCATGAGTATTTACACCATGGGTATTGGCAAATTCTACAAATCAAGACTCTTTCTTTTCCTTTTTTTAAATTTTTAAAAATTTTTTTATTGTTATGTTAATCACCATACATTACATCATTAGTTTTTGATATAGTGTTCCATGATTCATTGTTTGTGCATAACACCCAGTGCTCCA